GTTGTGTTAGAAGTTCAATGTAAGAGTTGAATTCTTTTGTCTCATCTTCAAACTTTGTAAAGTGTCCTTGGGTCATGAGTACAAACATATCTATCCTCAAAATATCCTTTCTATACGAATCTCTTCTATCTCCATATCAACTATACGAAGCTCTTCTACAAACTTATTGCGATTTTCATCCATGGACTATCATCCGCCATTTTTCGATTATCTAAACAACATTAAAGAAATCTATTAGAAATAGAGAACATTCAAATCATAAATAAATAGTTAACAAAGAAAGATTTGATTTGAATGAAACATTAGCAAAAACGAGCAAAATCAAAAGAATCATTATCATCTTGCCATTTTCTGATTTTAAACAACATTAGAGAAATTTGTGAGAAATAGAGAACATTCAAATCACAAAATGAAAAATTAACAAAGAGAGATTTGATTTGAATGAAATATAAACAAAAAAAATGAGCAAAAACAAAAGAGTCATTATCATCTTGTCATTTTCTGATTCTAAACAATATTAGAGAAATCTGCGAGGAACAGAGAACATTCAAATCATAAATGAAAAATCAATAAATAGAGATTTGATTATGAAAAATTAACAAAAATGAGACAAAAAAAAGAGACATTAGCATCTGTCATTTTCTGATTCTAAACAACATTAGAGAAATCTATGACAAAATAGAGACCATTTACATCATAAATGAAAAATTGACAAAGAGAGATTTGATTTGAATGAAACATTAACATAAACGAGAAAGAGGCATTGTCATCTTTTATTTTCTGATTCTAAATAACATTAGAGAAATCTGTGAGAAATAGAGAATATTCAAATCATAAATTCTAAACAACATTAGATAAATCTGTGAGAAACAGAGAAGATTCAAATTAAAAATGAAAAATTAACAAAAAGAGATTTGATTTGAATGAAACATTAACAAAAATTTTAACCCGGCTATCTCTAAAATCCTACTACCGTTCCTCCATTTCATACTTGAAGAATGCAAAATCCTCAACCATCTTTGCAGCAAACAACTCAAATCCCTCCAAAACCGCCGGATATTAACAATCATATACCCACCAACAGTAGCCCCATGGCTACACACGTCTCTACTCCAACTTTTAAAGACAAGCTACTATCATATACGCACTCGAACTTTATCTCTATGGAATGATTTGAGGATCTAATTGCACCTATGGAGATACATGAGCTAGATGACAAAGGTATTGGCGGAGATGAATCAAAAAATGCAGATCACATGGTCACCTTATCTGTTGAAGATATGCATAGGATCTATCATCCCCGAAGGTCTTAGTTCAACGGTAAGGATTGTGGGTTCGCTGGGAAAGATGAGGTTCGATTCCCGCTGAACGCAGTGTTATTTTAAAATTTAGAACCACATACTTCAAATCCTAGCTCCGCCTAACCAAACTATGTTGCTTCTCAGGCAAAATGGCAAATTGCCTTTGTATGGGTATGATGCCATTATATTAAAGAAAATTGGTAGCAAAATTGGGCGTTTATTAAAAGTTGATGCATGTACATCATCAACCTTGAGAGGACACTATGCAAGACTTTGTGTGGAAGTCTCTTTAGATCAGCCAGTGAAGTCATATATTTTCATCGGTTCTCATAAACAGCAAATATTATATGAGGGTGACAATTTCTTATGCAAACTATGTGGAAGATTAGGCCATTCATCCCTACAGTTCCCCTACTCTATTCCAGAAAAATCAAGAAATAATACGTTGCAACAAGGCTCTCCACAAATGTCAAAAGAAAGAGATGGTGAAAATTGGCAGACAGTGGTGTTCTCTAAAAGAAAGAAGAATCCTCCAAGAACAAAGTCTGAATCAATCAGGAACACACATGATGCAGGTATTAATGTCAAAATCTTTGATGCTACCGCATGTAAGTATCTTAATACTCAAAAACTAAAATACAAAGGAAAATATCCTCTACCGGTACATGACACAGGCATAAGGAAATCTCACCCAATCCCTGCTAATATTTCTTGTTCATCTAATTCTGATCATCATCATATAAATAATAATTCTAAATTACCTTATAATCACCAGCCCACTGTTTTGGAAAATACCACCCATAAGGTAAATCCACTTAATGAAACCAACCAATGCATGTCAAGTTGGCAGGACACACAAGATAAGAATAACAACCATGTGGCTAGATCCTACAATGACAAACTTAGTCCTACTACTGATGCATATACTACGCTTAATGATAATAGGGATAAAAATCATTTGGACTAAACCAATGAAGCTTCTCAAAGTAGTAACAACAACGTAACTATTAGTCTTAATAATGATAATATGGACGCTACTTCCTACAAGGCTAATATCCATCCAACTCAACAACACTTATCTCTTGATAATCCTAGCAATGAACAAGCGTTGATTGATATTAACCAATTGTCTAGTACAATATTTGAACACTCTTTTGAGTCCTCTAGCCACGAACATGAACACAATTCTAATCCAGAACATACAGAACTTTTGGAACCTTCCTAATCTCTTCAATCCATTCCTACCGAAGGACCCTAATCCATTAGGATCGAAGGACCCCGCCAATATATTCCTATTTCTCATACCTTGGGATGCCTAGAACAACCTGGCACAGATTCAAAAACAAAATAGCAACCAAGCCCCCATGAAAATGCAGCCCCCTCCACCACCCAATGCTTAAGAACTAAGAATAAAAGTAATGGAGGAACTAGAGGAGATACCTCCTCCAAACAGGGGGTTGAGAATCGAGTTTTCAAACATAAAAAAGTCAAAGTCTCACTCTTCTAGGTGAGGCACGACTTGAGGCATGTCTTCAGTTGTCCAATTGCACTATACAAGTGCACAATGAACATAAAGACACCACAAGATCTAACAGTAGGAAAGTTGGCAATAATCATAATACCATGCCAATGGAGAAACCTATCTTCTCCTATGGGGGAGGAGGGGAGTGTCAACCTACAGAACCCAAATCCCAGGATGAATAGAGCTACAACTATTATCATTTGGAACACTAGGGGTGCTAACAATGAGAACTTTCGTAGGAACTTTAGAGATATGATAGACACCCATAGGTTACTTTACTTGAAACTAAGATGTCTACTTACACCTCCCTTATTAATGATTTTAATTTTACGGATATGATCGAGATCCACGCAGAGGGAAGATCAGGAGGATGGTTATTCTGTGGGATCACAATATGGTCACTGTCTAAAATTCTATTAGGCGAGATCAGGAAATCCATGCTATTGGTTGAGATACTTCCTAAACGCTACTCTTCGATTTTTTCTTCCATTTACGCTAGTACTAGTAAGACTAATAGAAATATACTTTGGAAGAACTTGGAAAATATTAATGACTCCTATAAAGGCCTGTGGTTAGTAGGGGTAATTTTAACGACGTTTTAATGGCTGAGGAGAAATTTGGTGGTAAACCTGTTAGTCTCAATAGGTCATGCAAATTATGGTCCAGCATAAATTATTGTAACCTCTTTGACTTGGGATTTAAAGGGAGTAAATTCACTTGGTCAAATCATAGGAAAATGAGGAAAAGTCTAATTATAGAACGATTAGATAGAGTGTTCTAATGATAAATGGGCTACTCTTTTTCTTGAAGCCTCAGTTACCCATCTTCCCAAAACCCACTCCGACCATAGACCTTTGTTGATCAAGTTGAACTCTATGCCTAGTGGGAACTACGAGAAACCTTTTAGGATAGAGACAATTTGGTGCTCACATACTGATTTTATTAATGTGGTTAATTCTGATTGGAAAGATAATGACTGGTATAATGCTGCTCGATGTTTTAGAAACGATATTTTGGAATGGAAAAGAAAAACTTTTGATGATCTCTTTCACAGAAAAAAGAGACTCTTGTCTCCTCGACTCTCAATACTATTTCCAATCATGCCATGCAATATACTCTTCTCCCACAAAAAATTATGAATGTTATTGATCAAATCCAAAGGAATTTTATATGGGGTAGCACTGAAAGTAATAAGAAACTCCACTTGCTTAGTTGGAAGGTAGTCACTAGTAGTAAATCCAATGGGGGTATGGGAATCAAGAAGGCTAAGTCAAAAAATTTGTCCCTCGTTATAGGTCTTACATGGAGACTACTAAACTTTCCTCATTCTCCTTGGTCCAAGCTCCTTATTGCTAATCATGCTACGAAGGCCAAGAAAGCTAACACTTCTTTCATTTGGAGTGTTGTCGTAAAATGTTGATACTATTGTAATAAAGGGATCCTTTGGACTATCAATGAAAGGTCTGTGATTGACATTTGGAATTCCAGATGGATTCCTAACACTCCTTGTCTAAGAAATTCCATTCAAAGGCCTCTCAACAAGAGTGATCACAATCTAAAAATTAGAGATCTAAGGAAGAAGAATTTATAAAAATTTTCTAAGTTGTCTTTTGACCTCCCCAATTGTATTACTGATAACATTATGATCTTAAATGTCCCTCAATATGATAATACTCCTGACATTCCTATTTGGTCACTTAGTAGAAATGGCAGGTTTACTATAAAATCATGTTACACTCTCATTGATGGTCATGAGGAAACTGACAAAGATTTCACTTGAATTTGGCATCTCAACTGTCCTAACAAGATAAAATTTCTCCTGTGGAGTTGTTTTCATGATAAACTACCATGTAGATCTTATCTTAGGCATATTGGTATGAATATTGACTACTTGTCCAATGTGCAAGATTGAGGATGAGACCATTATGCACATTTTCCTTAGTTGTCCTATAACTAATGCATTCTGGAAGAATTTAGGCATTACTCACCTCTCATTCAATGGTATAACTCACTGGCTTCTTGTAATAAAAAATTTGAATCTTATGTTAAAGCACAAATACCTTGACCGGGAGGATCTTTTTTCTTTTGTTATCTGGAATATCTGGATGAATAGAAACAATAACATTCATAACAATACTAACCATGCTCCGTCCTCCAAGATCATTTTTCAACAGGCTATGGAATACAAACTCCTCACAGACAAAGAGTCAAACCCAAATACAAAGAAGACCATCAGAATAAGATGGCATATGCCCCCTGATGGTTGGTACAAACTTAACATAGATGGGGCATTCAAAGCTAAGAAGTTGCATTGTGGTCTAAGTGGAGTAATTCGCAACAGATCGGGAGATTGGGTTGTTGGTTTCTATAATTACACACATGCAGCAACCCCTCTACAGGTAGAACTATTGGCACTGAAACATGGCCTTCAACTCGTATGGGATCTCCAGCTGAAACCCTTGAAAATCGAAACAAGCTCAACTGATGTGCTCAAATGCCTTGATCATGGTTATCCAACGTATAATATCATTATTTTTTATTGCAGGTGGTTGATGCTCTAACTGGAGAAAGTAACAGTCAGGCATAATTTTAGGGAAGCAAATCAAGTGTCGCACCTTTTAGCAAAGGAAGCTTCCAAGCAGTCCAACCTAAACCAAGTCAAGAATTTTTCTCTTCCTCCTCCCTTTGTTGAAACTCAGTTTTTGGCAGATAGAGGCGGAACTTCCTATGTCAGACTACTTTCGGATAATATATGTACTAAGTTGGATGAACTTGGCAATGATAATGCCGTAAGTGGCATATCTATGGCATGTAATGTGACTAGTTCTTAGTATTAATAATAAGTATTCCAATTACTCAAAAAAAAACATTAACAAAAATGAGAAAAAAAATAAAAGAATCATTATCACCTTGCCATTTTTTGTGTTGGGATAAAAACTAACAAGGCCTCATGCGGAAGCTAATAAAATAAACCTTGGTGACAATAAATCAGACGACAAATAAAATATTCTAAAGAAGCATAATATTATAATATGATTTTGGTCAAGTGACCTACATATGATTTACTAATATAAAAGCGAGAAAAAAAACTTATGAGCTAATACAACATTCAGTTTTGCATATTTATATATGTTTATACAATTATTTTAAGTGTTATTTGATTTAAGTTACTAATCTCTATTTGAAGATTTTCTTTGAGATTAATATTTTAATAGCTAACCATATTATGAGCATGTTTGGTTGGGAGGCCGAATTTTCATTTTGGAGAAAATTACGCGATACATCAAACATATATACTATATTTATCATTCGTAGCTATACTTTCAGCAAATTTATCATTTGAACCTATATTTGAATTTTATAGCAAATCCATGAAATAAGAAATTAATTGATTTGAACTAAAACAAGAGAGCAACAAGCTCTCGTTGCTCAGTTGGTTCGAGCGCCCGCTTAGTTAGCGGAGGTCTTGGATTCGACTTTCAACAAAAGTATTTTATTTTTCTGTATATCTGTATTTTGTCTTCGTTGTATTCGTTGCGCGAACGAATACAGTCGATACATGTTGTATCCTTTGTATACATCCTTGTATACAGTCGATGTAGATTGTATCCTTCATATACACCCTTGTATTTTGCCTTAGTTGGTTACCGTTGATACATGGTGTATTTGTTGCGTGAATGAATATAATTGTGCGAACGAATACAATTGATATAGGTTGTATTTATTGCACGAACGAATACAGATAACACATGTTGTATTTGTTGTGCGTTTGAATACAAGTAATACAAGCTGGTTACAATTGAACAGTAGTTACGAAAGGTAATTAGGCAAACTATAGTTACTAGGCTCTAAATTAGTACTTTATAAAAATTCTTTTTTTTTGTATGTGTGTGTCTGTAACGACCCGAACGGTCATTTTGAGTATTAGAGCTCCATTCAGTGGCTTAAGGCCTTGAGCAGCTCTATATTATGTGTTATGACGTGTGTGCATAGTCGAGTTCAGACATGGGATGATTCGAGGCAGATGTGGAAAAAGGATTCGTGTTTTAGAAACTTAAGCGGTAAGTGTAACGACCCGACCATTCATTTCGAGCTCTAGCATGTCGTTAAGCTGTTTGAGGCCTTGAGTAGCTTCACTTCAGGTATTATGACTTGTACGTGTGGTCGAAATTGAATTTCAGAAAGTTCAGAGTTGATTCGGAAAGCAAATTCTAATTTCGGAAGCTTTAAGTTGAAAGAATTGACTAAGATTTGACTCTTGAGTAAACGACCTCAAAATCAAAATTTGAAGGTTCATATGGGTTCGTATGATAATTTCGGACTTGAGTGTATGTTCGGATTAAGTATCGGATCACCCGGGAGTATTTCGGTACTTATTATTGAAGTCGGCATTTTGAAAGTTTAAGAATTTATTAAGTCTGACTTAAAGTAGATTTTAATGTTATCGATGTCCGTTTGGGATTTCGAGCCTTGGAATAGGTTCGTATTGTGATTTATGACTTATGCGCAAAGTTTGGCGTCATTCCGGAATATTTTGATATGAATCGGACGAGTTCGTTGAAGTTTGAAAGTTTAAAGAAGGATTTCGATCATCGATTCGTAGTTTTGATGTTGTGTGGCATGATTCGAGGTTTCGACTTAGTCTGTATCGTGTTACGCGATGTGTTGGTATGTTTGGACGGGGTCCCGGGGGCCTCGGGTGCGAATCAAATTTGAAACGGATCGAGTTTGGACTTGAAGGACTGCTGAAGCTTAAGGCTTCTAGTGCGATCGCACCTGTGAGGTTATGGCCGCAGGTGCGAGACCGCAGAAGCGGCCCAAAGGTCGCAGAAGCGGTAGGGAGTGAGGGTGGATGGATTCGCATGTGCGAGGAATTTGCCGCACCTGCGGGCTCGCAGATACGGGCGGAGGAGCGCAGAAGCAGAAATGGTCTGGTACTGGTTGATCGTAGGTGCGGGTGTTGTAGCGCACCTGCGAAGCCGCAGGTACGGTCATGGGCGCGCAGGTGCGGTATGGTGCTTGAGCTGGGGAGTCCGTAGGTGCGGAGGTTTTCCGCAGAAGTGGATACGCACCTGCGGTTGGATGGCGGCAGAAGCACAAAAAGCTGGCCTTGGGGGATGCCGTATCTGCGAGGAAGCTTCCGCATAAGCGGCTAATGTTCCGCAGATGCAAAAATGTTGTTGGGCAAAGGACTTGATTTTATACGGGATTTGGCCCATTTTCTTTCATTTTCACTTGGTTGTGACAATTTTTGGAGAGCTTCAAGGGAAAATTTTCATCAAGCAACATAAGGTAAGTGATTCCCACCTATTACAAGTTAAATATATAGTTTGTATATGGATTAAAATATAAAAATTAGTAGAAATTTAGGATTTTGGTAGAAAACCTAGATTTGGTATTTTTGGATTTTGACCACGAAATTGGACATGTTATTAGGAATAAATTATATATTTAAGTTCGTGGTGTTATTGGTAATATTTATCTTCAAACAATTTCGGAATACGGGCATGTGGGCCTGAGGGTTGACTTTAATGACTTTTAGAGTGGAGTTGGGATTGCTAGGAATTGATTAATTATAAGCATTGGAGTAAATTTTGATTGAGCTGCACATTGTTTGACTAGTTTTGGATTGACAGGCATCGGTTTGAAGTGTTAAAGAGGCTTTGGAGTCGGTTAAGGAACTTCGGTGCGAGGTAAGTCTCCTGTCTAACTCTGCCAGGGGAAAACTACCCCTAGGTGATGTATTTGATATGTGCTACTTGTTGTGGGTGCTACGTACGCACGAGGTGACGAGAGTCCATACGTAGCTAAAGCATGTTTATGTTCGGGTAGACTTAGGATCTCATCATGTAATAATTGAATTATTTGGACTCGTTCTGCTGGCTTAATTAATTAAAGTTATAACTGAATTTGATTTAGAAATAAATATATGTATAATGGGCCGAGCCTTAACACTTGAGTGTTGGGCGAGTTATTTGAGAAATGATAAAGATTGTATACATTTTGTGCTCATGTACTGTATTATAAGTACGTGTCTCGTAATTCGATAACTTCTTTTCTTTCTTGTGTAGCGGGCTGAATGCCTCGGCAGTATATAGATACATCTATGGTTCATGTCACACGACCCTTGGCAGTGTACAAATTATTCTGGATCAGGCCGAACGACCTTATCAGAATCGTGCGTTATATTGCTAATAGTCCGAATGCTCACGAGATGAACCTACTGATGCCCGGCATTTAATGGTATTCCTTATTTATTTGTTATTGATACTTGGCATTTTTTGAGCTATTAAGGTAGAATACAAGATCGAGAAATTTATACTTAAAAAGAAATAATTGGAAAATTATGAAATCACAGGTTACTCCGTTATTGTTGTGCACGTCATATCTGTTATGAATTATCATATTATTTATTTAGACCTCTAGCAAGTGTCGATATCGACCTCTCATCGCTACTTCTCCGGAGTTAGGCTAGATACTTACTGGGTACGCGTTGATTTACGTACTCATGTTACACTTCTGCACCAAATGTGCAGGATCTGACAGGTCATTTGGTAATCATCTTGGTGTGTAGCCGCATCTGTTGAGGAGACTTTACGTGACCTGTAACTCAAGCTACGCATCGCAGTCCATCGAGTCTCCATCGTACTATTTTTTTAATCGTGTCTTATTTACATTCTGGACAGATGTTGTATTATTATTGTACTCCTTAGAAAATGCTCATGTACTTATGACAGCGGGTTTTGGGGGTTCCTACGAGTTGTTCGTTATTGTAGTTGTGTAAATATTATCATTTACCCTGTAAATTCTATTTCATATGATTTAATTAAGGAAAATTATGATTTCAGAATACTAAAATGAGCAATTAAGTTGATCAATCACCGTTGGCTTGCCTGACGGTGGTATTAGGTGCCATCACGACCTTTAGTGGATTTTGGACTATGACGTCTTGGTATTAGAGCGTAAGGTTCACTTAGGTCTCACGAGTCTTGAGCGAGTCTAGTAAAGTTTTGTGGATTGGTATGGAGATGTCTGTACTTATCTTCGAGAGGCTACAGGGCTGTTAGGAGCACTTCCCTTCTTGATTCCTCATTTGTGCGATATGATTCCTTTGAGGCTTATGCCTTTATTTCCTTCCTACTCAATCGTATGCTATGTGGAACGCTTGTTATCAATTGGGCCTCGAGGAGTTGTGGTGGTACCGCAGACGTGGTGCAGGATATTTTTCCCTACGTGTTTGGGCGGGCTATTATCGTCGCCTTGCGAAAGGATGTTCTGTAGTTTTGGCTCAATATCTGTATTCCATATAGTTTTGAGGCTATGCACAGGTTGCTATGATGTTAATACGTTGTAATTGTACAGTGTTGGTGTAATGGTAGGGTGCGTTTTTATGTGTCAAGTCAGTGAATGACTTGAAAGGAGGATTTCTCAGTACGTTTTTTAGAGGTTCAACATTTAACTCCAGCAGAGAAAAGGCAATCGGACTATAGATGTCTAGGTTTGTTTGATGAAGTAACGAGATTTGATATTTTTGAGCGTGGTGGAATTCTCATTTGTGATATGGTGTCAGTATCCTTGTTCGAACGTATTAGGGTTCCCCATTGTTATGGTCTTCTTTGATTTTGCCTTCGGGCAGGGTGTTGTGAAATGGTGCCTGAGAAGAGGTTGTCAGAGATAGCAGAGTGTAGCGGTTTCGGAATCAAATTGGTATTTTTAATGTTGATGGCTCGAGAAAGATGATCTTCTAGGAGTTTCAAAGTTGGTAGCAATTCATTGGTTTAGGTGCTACATGTATGGATTTGATTTGAGGCAATATTTGGGCAGCGAAGTATGAGGAAGGACATGGCGGGAGGTGTCTCGCGGTGGTTGAATTACTAGCAGGTCAAGTATGAGAAGCAGGGGTCGAGAAGTTGCTTAAAGGAGATGGTTTAACCGAAGTGGTAGTGGCAAAGTAGCGTATGGATTCTGTGGTAAGATGGACACGTACCTTGAGGAAGATTAGAGCGATTTGGGAGGCATGGTGGAAAGTGACTAGGTCCACGGATTATAATTGGAATGGTGGTTACTGTACGGAGAAAGATTGAATATGGCAGAAAGGAGTTTGCTTGAATTAAAGCGGGGTGTGAAGATTTGACTATCGCTTCAGATGCAACATAGCTTTGAGTTTGGAAGGTATTTTTTAACTTTAAGTTTATGTCAATGGGGAAGGAAAAGACTTGTACAGGTGGTGGATGAGCACGGGCTCAGGAGGGTCTACTGATTGCGTAGTAAGAGTGGGTGACTCCCAACTGCAGTTCTAATGGGTTTGTTATGCGGCTGGAAGCCGGGATATTTGTAGCAGAGTGTGAAGAATACTTGGTGAATTTTCTATGTTATCATTGGGTCTGCGGGGCAGTATTAGAAAAGTGGGAAAAATAGCTTTAGATTAGCAGAAGGGCTTGCAGAATGGGTGTTCCAGTTAGAGATGCTATTGTGCGCTTGAGAAAGGTATGAGATGATTCATCGATATTGAGACGATGTGGTCTCGTGATTCGGGTCACTTGGGATAAGTGCGGATTGAGTTTGTTATATTGTGAAGGGATCTATTATATTTCTAAGTCAGGTCAAGAGAAAATTGAAAGAAGTTAGGTCGGTTGGTAATGGTTGAGTAGGCATGATTGTGGCAATGATCAGTTCCTTCGGTGTGTGAAGTTGTACATGTGGGTTGTGGATGTACGCGTGGGCTTGACAACCACCATAACTTGATTGATTTGGGAGGTATTTGATTCAAATGGCCTTGTTGTGTGAATGGATTCCGGAAGAGTCATGGTGGTTTAGATCACGACTTGAGATTTATATTTTCTACGGTTTGGGAATTCAGTTGCATGTTGCATTGGTTCTTCTGAAATGAGCTAAGTGAAAGGTTTCTAGCCAATGAAGTAGTTATTCTACTAGTAGTGCAAGGGTTATGGTGAATACGTGTATTATCGTGTAGCGGCATGATAGGTGCAGTGAGCGGCATGGGAATTTGAAAGTTGAGGATCAAGGTTGCGGTTCGGCATTGTCAAGAATATCACGAGCTCGGATGAGCAGGGGAGAATTCAGATGTTCAGAGTAAGTTGTCATTTTCTTTAGTGTCACCTGGGAACGGCGTTCTGTGTAAGAGGCTTTGTGTATTGATTGGCCGATTCTCGATTTGCTTTACAGAATTAGGATGGTTGGTGGTATGGATGTGCAGACTTTGCTACCTGAGCGGAAGGTCATGGGAGCGTACCCCACAGGGAGATTTTTATAAGTGTGGCATGTTAGTCACCTGATTGTTAAAGATTAAAACCAAGTATGGAGATTATGGTAATATCGCAAATGCGAGAGTTTATGCGTGAGAGGCGTTCTATTCCTTGGGCTGTGGGGCGTATGAGTTTGTTTCAAATTTAATGGCTATTCTTCTGTGTCATGAATAGGGCCGTTGTGGATCTTTAGAAGGTATTGGCCCAGTATGGTATGATCAGACTCAGTTTGAGGTCCGTTGGTGGGTCTAATGTGAGTGTCTACTCTACGTCAGGTCGGATATGTTTGTTCGTCATAGCATTGCTTACGGAGGAGGCGTCGGGCATTGGATGTTATTCCTGTCGTCAGCTATTCCATGTAAATCTCTATTGTGCCATATGGGCTGTGAGACGGCATGATTATTTGCACATATATTGAGGTCTCATATAGCTTGTGGTGTTTTATGAGCAGGATGGCTCTCGAGATACATATCATTTCTTTCACCTTAATTGTGCTTGGGTTCGCAGCTTATGGCATTGTCCATCTCCCCAAGATTTGTATTATGCACTTGGCGTGCTTGCGGTCGATATTCGAGCATTTCGTAAGTATAAGCGTTATGATTTGATGTGTATGTTTTCTTCTTGATTGTTATGTGTGGATCGGGGTGCACGCCGCCACGTGTATATTGTTTGGATCGGGTTGCACGCCGCAATAGTGTGTTGAGCATAATTCCTTACACTTATTTTGTGTGCCTCTTTTTCATCCTTGAGGTAGGTTCATAGCATCTACTCGATCGTTTTATTCGTTACACAGGCTGGGTAATTCCCTGTCAGAGTTCGTTCTTCCTTATGAGTTATATTCGAGTGGTAGCTTATTGGCGCTTTAATGGTGTTGCATAAGAT